TTAATGGAGAAGTTTGCAGAGTAATGCAGTGAGTCAGTCATCATCCGGTGTAGCAATTCAAGCACGACAGCCCCAGCATGACGGTTTGGTTTTCTGCACATCATTGGTTCTTCCCTGCACTGTAAATACTTGTCACTCTCAAAATTTGGTGAACTCGTCCTGTTTTTGCAGTTATTTCTGGAAGCGGCGACGGAACGAATGTTATTACAAGTAGTGTAGCAAGCGGAGATGCGGCAGTACCACCACAGCCCATTGCATCGCAGATTCACGCACCGGGCAGCACCTTTTCCAGAAAGCGCGTCTATGAAGCTTCAAGGTTACTCACTGCATTTGGTGTTGGGGCCGTGTTGAGTATTAATTTTTATGGAGTGAAAACAAAAAAATCTGTTGCTCAGAATCATTGCCGGCTTCGTTGGTAACTGATTAACATCGCTTGCAACACAAAAAAGGTATCATTCAGCAAGTAACCGATGCGATCGTGTATTCTGCGCAGTTTCATGCAGTGGAGCCGGAATGATGGCTAAAATTTCACAAATTCGCACGTGAGACGTAGACATACGGTGAAACTAAATTCCGAGATAGCTTATGAACAGAAAAAGCGTTCTCCAACTTCTAACTTTCTCGCTTACTTAATTCCCAAACTAGAATATATCCCACTTGAGATTTCTCGTGCCCATATGTGTGGCCTAGGCTTACGGAGGAGCTGAAGTTCAACGTCCTGAGTCGTATATGGGCATGACTTTGTATTTTGTATTGAGCATTGTTTTTTATCTGATTCTTCTATTTGTAAATCTCTGCGAAAACAGTGAAGTGTGTTGTACAAGAGGCGCAGAGATATGAAGGCTGTGTTTGAATCTTGCAGGATCGTAAATGGACGGAAAAGGTTCTTCTAAAAATCGATATCCTAGCTTCTCCCGTTGTTGAGTTGATAATTCCATACACGTGTACATACATAGATTGGGTATGAGTTTTGAAGCACAAAACATATAAAAATGGTTTCCATCAATAACAGTAGTCACCAGCTGAGTTGCTATATTACGGATCTGACGGAGTCTAACTGGAGATAAGCAATCGAGGACTGGAAGCCTTGGCTTAACTGTGTTCGAGTTACGGAACCGCTGGCGGATTTTTTGGTCTTATTCTGAATATCTTTCATTTTCTTCTCATCGCTTTCTACCGTTTGCAGTGATCAGTCGTCTTCAGTTGAGGTTGGATCAGATGTTCTACAATCGAGCAAGCGACACCGTGGCAGTCCTATGGAGCAGGTATGTTCTTTATTGCTTATTTAGCATTTTAAAGGTATTTAGTATGATAAGGCGGATCCAGGCAGCTTCCTGGAGAGA